CCTGGACCCCTGGCCACCCTCCCCGGTGCGGGCGGCGGCCCCCTGCAGCCTGAGTGCCCGCACGTAGCTGGGCTATTAATACTCCGGTGCAGCGCCCCGCTCCGAGCAAAAATAACCCGCGCGCAGAGGGACCAAAATAGCGGCCTGGGAAAGGCCTGGGCTGGCCACTGGCGGGTGGGGGCCTGTCCCCACTGCGCTGACCGGCGCCGCCACCGCCTGGCCGCTGTCCAGGGCTCGGCCTCACAGCCCGGGCGGGGGAGGGGTGGGCAAGGGCTGCGCGTGGGCTGCCGGGCGGTGGGTCAGCTGGGGGCCTAGGTGAGCCGTGGCCCCCGGGGGCCCCTGACAGCCGCTGCAGCCCCTCGTGTGGCCCTGACTTCTGGGGACCCTGAGCAGAGGTAGGGTGGCTGCGCCCACAAGGCCCCAGCGATGTGTCCAGCCCCCAGTGGGCAAGAAGCCCAGCGTCCTGCCCGGTGACCCCACCTGCCCTGCTCCTCCAGGGCCAGCCTCTGGCCCTGGGCTTGGCCAGGTTCAAGGGCGAGGGGCCTCAGAAGTGGCCGCCGGCCACCCTCCAGACCAGGCCCAGGGTGACCCCAGGGGCCAGCGGGGGCAGGGCGCTCTGCAGCCCCGCTGCCAACCTGCTGTATGCCCGGTGGCCTCCGCGGGGCAGGGCAGGCGGGGCGGGCAGGGGCCTCTGCCTGGGGAGGTCCCAGGCGGTCCAGGCCGCAGGCTGAGGCCCCATGGGCGCCCCCACCCAGCCATGGCCGGGGCCTGTGGCCACCACTGGGAGCTGACTGTGCGCCCCGGGGTGGGCGGCACCCTGCTGGCACATGTCCACCTCCTCTGCAAGCCGCCCCTGCAGCTGGCGGGCAGCTCTGTCCAGCCCCACCGAGGCTCCACGCACCCAGGGCGCCCCCTCTCGGCCGAGCTGCGCAGGGGACGCTGTCAGTGTGGCAGTGAGTGGGGGCTGGAAGGCCTCGGCCTGCGCGGTGGGCACCACCGTCTGGAGGCTGTGGGCAGCGCCAGGGAGTCACCCCGTGCTCTCCGCCAGCGGCACCCCCAGGAGGGATGTCCAGGCTGTCCGTGGCCACTCACCTCCCTGCTTCTGCGGCAGGGAGCCGGCCAGTGCCCACCCGGGCCAGGGAAGGGTCACTTGCTGGCCCAGTGGGGGGGCAGCGGCGTCGGGGCGCTGGCCCTGCCCCCGGAGACGGCGGGGCCAGCGGCCTTCCTGCTCCTCCCGGGGGCCGGAACCGGCTGGGGGAGGGGCCGCCTGAGCCGCTGACCAGGGAGGCCAGTCGCCCGCTTAGCCCCGCGGGTCGCCCGCCCGGAGCCCGGAGGCCGGCAGGTGCCGCAGCCACGCCCAGGCCGAGGGCCGCCCCGGGCAGGGGCCTTTTCCCCTAAGCAGCGCTATCTTTTACCTCCATAAGCTGTTTAAAAAATGTAAATAAAATAACTCGGCAGACAAAAGCGGGCATTCATGGCCGGAGCAGCCGCGGGACATGAAATATGGCCGCGCCGAGCCCGCGGCTGCGAGGCGGGCAGGGCCTGAATGCGCCCGCGCGGCCACCGGAGCGTGCAGGCCGCCCGCCACAATGGCCCGCCGCGCACAGGGCCTGCGGACAAGACCCCCTTTGTGTGGGACGCCCCGCCTCGGGCGAGGGGCGCATTCAGCCCAGACGCCTTTGAAAGCCGGTAACAGAAGCCGGGACGCGCCAGCGGCCCCACTCTCGGGCCATTCAGCCCGCGGCCGCGCCCGGCCGGCCCTTTGTTCCACCCACCCTGCTCCTGGGACCCAGCCGGCCCCAGGGGGTGGGGGGATGTGCCCCGCAGCCGCCCAGTGCCCACCGCGCCTGGGGCAGCGCCGCCCACCCGGCCTTTGGGCCCCGGGCCCCCAGAGCCGGGCTCAGCCCCCGAAGGCAGGGACACCCCTGGCTCCCTCCAGGGGCTCCCCAGGCCCGAGCACCCAGCCGCCGGGCCCCAGGCTGCGCCCGGGCCGCCGGCCTACAGGTCCGGCCTCCTGGCCAAAGTGAGAGCCCACCAGGGCAGCCGGCCTGGCCGCCACACTGCAGGTCACTTGGAGCCCCGCAGCGGGTCCGGCCATGTCGGAGAGGCCCGCTGATGGGCCAGAGCTTACTGCATGGAGTGGCCCCCTCCCCGCCCTCCAGACTCTGCTCCAGCCTGAGGACCTGCAGGGGTGTGTCCTGCGCCAGACAGATCCAGAGGGGCCTTGGTGCCTGACCCCAGGCCACGATGACCAGGGGCCAGTCCCAGTGACCGAGGGGCAGGCAGAAGGGCGAGGTCCTCCGGCCCCCCACACCCCTGCTCCCCTTGAGCCCCACCTGTGTTTCTGGGGCTCACAGGGAGGGGCTGGGCCACACAGGGCGGCCCAGGCAGCCACCCACCCTGCTGACCGCGTCCAGCAGTCCGAAGGCCTCTGGGGGAGGTGAGCTCAGGGACCAGATACAGCACAGGTCTGTATCTGGCTGGCAGGAGGCCCGGGGGGGCCGACGCCCACTCACGGCAGGGAAGGCCCAGCCAGGCATTGCCATGTCCAGCACCTGGAGAGGCCGGCGCGGGCAAGGGGAGGGCAGGGCGGGCTAGGGATGGGGCAGCCAGCGTCTCGGCCGCCTCTCCTGGGCAGTCCCTGCTGCTGCCGCGGGGCAGGGCTGGAGGGAAGGACACCCCAGCTCTGCCAAGCAGCTGCGAACCAGCGGCCACAGAAGGGAATGCTCTTCCCGAGGAGCCGCTGACCTTCCTGGACCAGGGCAGCCAGACCCAGGCTCGCGGCGGGCAGGCCCTCCCTGCCCACACCTGCCGTGGGACTCCAGGATGGGGGGCCGAGCTCGCGGGGGGTTGGGGGTGGTGGCCGGCAGGGCCTGGGCGGGCCCTCCCAGGGGTCCTCCTGCGAGGGCCATCGACGAGATGGGGCAGAGGCCAGCCGGGGAGCCCTAGAGCCGGGCACCCATGTCGTGGGCCCCTGTGGGTCCCTCGGCCGAGGCAGAGACCCCGGGAGGGCTGTGTGGCCGGTCACCCCGGCGGGCAGGTGAGCGCGGGGCTGGAGGCCTGGGCAGCGGCACAGGACGGGAGGCCTTGCCTCAGCTGAGGGTCAGAGCTCCGCTGCCAGGGACGTGGGCAGGTGTCGGCCGGGCTCAGCCTCACCCCACTGGTGAGCCCAGGCTCCCCATCCCTTGGCTCAGGCCAGCCTGTGAGTGACCAGGGGAGCCCCCACCTCCCAGCCGCGCCCTGGGGACCAGCAGGGCTGAGGCCCGCAGCCACTCAAGATGCCCCCACAGACCTGGCCCCTGGTCAGGCCCTGAGCGGGGACCCCTGGGACGCCCCTCTGGTGCCCAGTTGGATCCCAGTCTCAGCCCAGCGCCCTC